TCCCAGCCAAATCCCTGGATTTGTATCAGGAGTGAATCTGACCCTCCTGCTCTGGTGTGAAAAGCCACCAGCAGTGCTGGTGTGCTCGGACACTGCTGCTGGCCTGTCACCACAGAGCTGAGCGTGGCTAGGGCAAAGTGCTCCCTGCTGACAGCTGATGGGGGTCCCCACAGGACTAGGAAATATGGAGTGAGGTAGTGAAGTAGCAAACACAATCCTGCTGCTGCTGAGGTGGTGCTGAGCACTGGATCTCAGCTCCTGGAAACCTGGTGCCTTTTGTCAGCACCAAGCCCACAGGAGACACATCATGCCCTGAATTTTCCAGCAAATTGCATCATCTTCAGTCATGACACTTTTAGGCTGGGGCTGCCATCAACCCATCCAGCTCTGCCTGTTCCCATCACACAATCCAGCATTTATAGCACTGTTTGTCATCTCGTGAGTGACAGATTTGTAACTTCATTGTGGGACTATGAAACAGGAGTATCCAGCCTGGGAGAGCAAGACCCTGATTGCAGAACACACTGCCTAAATGAGATGGGCAACTTAGAAAGAAATCTCACGGGGCAAAATGGGAAAACAGCTGCCACTGCTGCACCAGGTCCCTCGTAGTGCATGTAGGCCACCGATCCAGGGGTGAGTTTACCAGAGTTAAGCATTTTTATCACTTTTTTTATGTGCAGAGAATTGAGACACATCAAGTGATTTGCCCAAAGGTAGATAGGGAATCTGTGATAGATGGGGAAACAGGCTTGGACCCAAAAATTCATCCATGTTTCTAGTTTATCCAGACAACTGCTGGTCCACAACATATCGTATTTTTGCAATCCTGGCTCTGAAGCGCTTATCTGACTGCAATTATCCTCTTCTGCAGAAGCTGTTTTCTACCTGGCTTGGTACACAAACAACAAGCAACAACCCTCTAATAAATTAGCAAAGCTCTGAGTGCCGTGACTTGCAGAAACAGCAGCTAAATCCAGGGGCCAGTTCTGGGCTCAGCGGCACTGATGTCTGCCCAGAGGAACCCTGCTGAGCTGCCTGGAGTCCTTCTGCCCAGATGTGAGGATGATCAAGGGGATTTTGTGTGTCAGATGAAGATCCAGGGGTGGGAGGGGGATGGAAGGAGTAAACCCTCCTTGGCATTAATCAACTTAATCAAATGAGCCCTGTGGGTTTGACCCCAGTGGGGCAGGAGCTGAAGTGCGGTGATGTGTGTCCTCTTTAGCAGGACACAAACCCTATTAATCTTTTTCCATATGACCTCCTCCTTCCTGGCTCACTGACCCTCATCCTGCAGACACACTCAGCATCCCTGACTTCTTCCTGCCCTGAAGGAGAGCAGAGCTGTGGTAGGCCCAGGACAACCCTCAAGAGTTCGTCTCTCCTCCTGCTTCTCCAGTGCCTCTCATTGTGGTGACAGATCATTGAGGTATTTTAGCAAAACCTCGTCCCTGATGCTGTCTCTGCTCTTTCACTAATTCCAGAAATGTTCACGTGGGGACAAAAAGCTGTTACGAAATGAGAACCTGCTTTTAAATTCAGAGAGGGTGAAGACAGCTTTCTCTCTGCCCTCCCACCCCTGAGTTTCTTTGTGGCTAATTTAGTTCCAAAATGCATCAGACTCCCAAATCCACTGCATCCGTGAACTCCAGGGCTCAAATGGAAAAGGGGCTTTTGTGTTACCACAACTTGCTGATGCTTTGGAGGCTGCTCAGGAAAACACAGGCTTGACACCGCAGGAAGGAGAAGTGGAAATATTTTGGTTACATGCAGGTGGAATTAAACAGATGTTTAAAAAATTAAAAGCTGCTTTCTAAAGTATGTCAGTGTTGCTGCTCCAGATGAAGCAGGATGAACCAGAGCATCTGGAAGCCTTGGTAACAGTTTTCTTAGAGATTGCTCCCAGGGAGTGAACAGATAATCCGCCTTCCTTTTCTGAAAGAAGTTGAGCTACAGGGGATGGTTTACAGCTGCAAGGTGATCAGATTGAGGACCTGCCTGCTCACTGAGGCAGAGCAGATCATGGGCCTAAAGGCAGACCTTTCCTCTGCCCCATTTCTCAGCCTTTTGACATAATTTTTGCTCCCTGGAGCACAACATTCATTGTTGTACTCTCAGAAGCACGGGTGAGCAGACTCGCTTTTGCCTAATCAAAGCCCAGCCACCGGGAAAGGCAAGATCCTTTGAACGATCCCGTGTTTGAAAGGACACGAGACTCCTGGGACACCTGTGCAGGCATTTGTGCGTATCCAGCCTGTGTGTGCAAATGCCCCAGGGTCTGAGGTTACAACAGTGCATTCAGTGGGCCCTGGCACCTCTGCTCGGGGCTGCGCAGCCTTCCACGCCCCGGGACAATGCAAGGCACCAGCTTCGTATTTCTCCATCCGCCTCCTTCGGGGTGTAGTTGCCATCTGAAGCTTGGAAAGCCCCTCAGCTGCTTTGGAATCTGTCAGCCGTGGGGGGAGCTTGTTTTGCACTTTGGTGTTCAGGTTGCCACAGCTTGTGCTGTGACTGCTCCTCTCGACCCACCAGCAGCGTGAGGGTTCTGGCACCACAGGCCCTGGGTGTCCCTTCCCTGTGGATAAGCCAAGGGCCAGGCAGCACCAGGGCTGTGCTGCTCTCATTGCCGGCAGTAATTATGTAGTAGCTGGGTGAGATTAGGCAGACTGGCAGGCAGCCCGTGTCTGCAGTGCCGTGAGAGGAGCCTGGCTCCGGGGAGAGGGATGGGGAGTGTGGAGGGAGTGGGGACAAACCCCAGCTTGGTGGCTGCCAGTTGGGGTGACAGCTGAGGGCTCAACTGTACCTCACTGCACTACTCTGGTAGAAAAGGTGAGCTGATGTTTTGGAGCACAGCAAGTTTTGGTGCTAATCCCTCCACTGGACCGCTGAGACTGTGGGAGAGGATGTCTTGGGGACTTGCACTGACTAATCCATGATTTAAGAGTTTGCATTTGCTGTCATCCAGCAAGCACCACGTGCCAAAAATGACTGGAATTCACCCCATGGTCCTGATGAAGATTCACAGCTTCACAAATTTCTCTCCTGTCAATCACTGCCTTCTCCTCAGGCATCTTATTCCAGCCCCGGGAAGAGAATAGTAGGGAGCTGTAGCAAAGGAATCTGGGGAAGGGGCAAAAAAAGTCTTACAAAGAAGAGAAGGAGGAAAAAAATCTCACTTGAGCAGAAATCAACCATCCACTGATGAGGATCCTGGAGAGGAGGAATATCCATTTACCAGGAATGGGGGGAATAGCATGTACCACTCATTTCCCATTAGCTGCTCTTTGCCTCTCTCTGCAGACCACTGGGAGACAACAATGGCTCCTTCCAAGCAGCTTTGTCTTGTCCTGCTTCCCTCCACTCTCAGCTTTCCTTAGCAGCTAAATCAACAGCCTCAGGGAAAACGAAGGGGCAGAAGACACCAAACTCCCACAAAAATCCAGATAGCACAGCTGGTGGATTTTATGCAGAGTTCTTTCCTCTCTGAAGGGGAAACAGTGAGAGCAGGGGGGAGGATGGGACTCATGAGGCCCCTTGTCCAAGTCTTGGGTTCAAGTGTCACTTTCTATGTGATTTCAGAAATGTTCTAATTCACCTTTTTCTGCTGAGCCATTGGAGCGTTTTCTTTTTCTTGGTGTATTGTGACTTCTGTGGCATAAAACATTGGTTGAAAAGCCTCCCTGCTTCCGTTCTCACAAAGACAAGGACACCAAAGTCCACTGTGGGGGTAAAGAGCAAAACTTCTCTGATAAAATTCTAACTGTAGGTACTTGAAGCCAAGGAGAGGTGTCCTTCTCCCCAGGCTTTGGGAACATTTCCTAGCCCGGGTGAGCTGCAAACTCACACATTGCCTGAGGTGGAAATCCTATGCTAAGAACACACATGACTTCTCTTTGAAGGCAAAGCCTTTGGACAGGTAGGAAGCTGTGCTTGTCTGCATCCATGTGTTGATCTTAGGGTGCTTTCCTGGGCTCCAGTGAGTTTGTATTTTGCAGATTTGGACATGATGCTGCTGCTTTTGTGCCTCTCCCTCTTTCTTGCTCCAGGTGTGTGGACAGCAACCTAAAATTGGAATTCACTCAAGCTCCATGTTCACACTGAATCTGGCTCTGGAGCAGACTGAGCCATTGCCAAGTGGCTAAAACTTTTCAGCATTACTTTTGTTTGCATCTCAGGAGTACCTGAAGGCCTGTCCCGCAGCAGCAGATCTCTCTGTGCAGGGTATGCTCTAAACACTGAGGCAGAGGAGGATGGAGAGAGGTCTGTGAAGGCTCTGCTGAGCTGCAGGACCTGCAGACCTCTTGCTGCAGGGGAGATCCATCTCCGGACAGGACTATGCCAGTCCCAACGAATTTAAAGTCTGAGGAGATGGGACAGCTACGGAGTGAGGGCGGATGAACACTTGCCCAGGTCAGTGGCGTGGACGAGGATCTGCACGAGGATCTGCACCTGCAGATCTCCAGCTCCCACCACTTCTCCCTAGAGAGGAAACTGGATGTGGTGGAAAAGCTTCTCTCTGCTCGATGCAAGAAGCCCCTCAGTGGCTGAACACTGTATAAACAGCAGCAGCAGGCTCCCTCCCCCTTTCCATTCCTGTTTGTTAAACACACGCTCTCTGCCTTTCTCTCCTTCAGGAGCGAACACAGCATCCAGCTTTGTGAGACAGGGGCTGTCAGTCACCCTGCGAAGAGGGGGCTCTCCAGATGCTCATGGTGGGGTTCCAAAGCAACCCCTGGCAATGAAGCACCCTCTGGCAACCCAGATCCTCTCCTGACTTCCACGCTTCTCCGAGGACAGTTGCAGAAAAGTGCCTTTCACCTCTTTGCCACAGGTTGACTTCCAGAGAGTGGAGAGGACCAAGTGCTCCGTCCTGGCCAGCGATGAGACAGTAACTGGTGGTGAGCAGCTCAGTTCCTGAAGGAGGAGGACACTCTGACCTTTGCAGGTAGGTCGGGGAGGGCTTATCTGAGCAGCAGGGCTGAGATGGGGCCAGGACTTGGCCATGCCACATGGCTCAGGCAAAAAAAGCTCCGAGCATCTTTGGGAAAGTGGATTTGGGGACTGACAGCCCTGAGAGCTGGAATAGAGAAAGTGAACAAGAAATACTGGCAGGAGAGCTTCGAAAGGTCTGCGAGCAGAAGCAGGGAACCTGGGAAGCAGGATGCTGAGTGAGAACAGTCAGGAGAGCAGGTTGCTCCAGGGGGCTGCAGAACCCAGGCATGTACAGCTTCGGAGCAGTGCGCTGCAGGTGTGGGGCTGAGTGTGTGGCTGTCTGAGAAATCCTGATCTCTCCCACAATTTGCCTCCTCGTGGCTTGGTACAAACCTCCCGTAGCTGCTCCGTGCTGGGACTGCACACACTCCTGTCACTCAGTGCTGCCACAGATCAGTGCCCTCAGAGAGAGAGATGCAAAGGGAGATAGGGGGACTGCAGGAGGAAAATCTGTGCATGCTTTCTCTTTGCACTCATTGATGTTAATTGTTGAACAGAGAAATCCTCTTATAGTCCCATTGCAGCTGCATTCCACCTACAGAGTTTCTGGTCTGTCCCAAAGCAGGATACTGGGTTTTCTCTGTGTTAATGAGATGTTATTTCCCTCTGCTCCCTTGTCTCATCCAAATTTCAGGAGGTAACGGGCTCCCCAGGTTAACCAGGATCCATCCACCAAGGTGTCTCTGCCTTTCTGCATCCACAACAACCAGTGTGTCTCCATCACAGTGTCACCTGCTGAGCCTTGTCTCCCAGCCAGCCTTGCTCTGCTCCTGTGGCACGTCCCACAGGGCAGAGGGCCCTGCACTGTTCCCCCCTGCTTTCTGTAGGATAAATTCCCATGAGAAAGTATGCATCCCTGCCAAACAGATCTCTTCTCACCCCCTTCTTTTTCCTCCTGTCCTGAGCTGGGTCTTTGCCTTGTCTCCTTCAGAGTCTTCCATGGCTCCAGCCTAGGCAGGGATGCGAAAATATTTGGTGTGAGGAACCACAAGAAATCCCTGGTGCTTCTCCTCCTCCTTGCACTTTGTAGGTTTTATGCTGAGAGATGCAGAGTCTTCTCTGGTGGTAAATGCCGGAGGCTGGAGTTAGAAAACTTGGGCTCTGTTCCCAGCCCTATCGTGGATGTGCTGTGTGGTCTCTGGCAGGCTGGTTAACCTCCATATCTCAGTTTGTTGTGTTCTCCTCCCTTAAGTGCTGTGGGGTGCAGGGCTGAACTTTGCTGCCTCTCAAGTGCTGGAGGGGAATGTGAAGGTGGTAGAAGGTGGCTTGTCCTAGGGTGACTACCAGGTTCCAGTGGTGAGGGATGGTCTCAGACCTCCTTGCCATGGACACCTGTCTGAATATGGGTCTGGGGATGAGATGAGTCAGTGCTCCTGACTGGGATGGTGGAGATGAAGGGATTTCATGAAGTTGAGCCACTTTGGAGGAAGGACACAGCATGGAAGAAACCAGTGAGCCAAGTGATAGAAGTATCCACCAGCCTCAGCCCTCACACACTCCAGCTCTGCTGTAGAAGAAGGTTGTAGCTGTCATTAGCCAGCGAGCAGAGGCTGGCCCAAGTCCCTCCACTACCTCCTTTCAAATCAAACCAATCAGCCTTGCTATTTGGACAAAAAGAGAAATTCTAATTAACAAGCTCTGTTTTCTCCAGCCCTCTGTCCACCCCTCTGCCCTGCTTTCTGAACCGTGGCAGGCTTTGAAGGTGGCTCTTCCAGGCCTGGATGTGCCCTGATTGACCTGCACCAGGCTGGCTGTGTGCCTGGGGCTGCAGCAGGGATATGGAGGGAGCTGGGGCATCCCAGGAAGCAGAAGTGCATGAGTCCCAGGGCACCTACTGTAGGCCCCCTGTAGGAACGGATTTTGGACCTGTCACACTGGTCACTGTCCCTCTCAGTCATTGACAGCAGAGTGCTGAGTGAATGGCTCCTCTGTGCTTCTCCCCTTCCCAAATGCTGAAGCCTGCTGGCACAGCCCTCTGCCTCATTGGGAGCCATCCCGGAGCCTCAGTCCTGTCTCAGGCTGAACCTCAGCTGGAGGAGAGGGTGAGGATTATGGTTATCCTGATACAGGCAGCGCCCTCTTTCTGCATCCCTTCATGGCAGCTCAGCACAGAGGAAAGGGCTTAGGGTAGTATTTCTGCCTCCTCATGGTCTGTCCTCCTGCTTTGTTGTCCCAAAAGTAGTTGGCTCTCAGCTCCAAGGATTTTTCTATCTAGCCTGGCAGGCCTGTTAGGCAGAGGACCGTGTGCCTGACAGCAGCCTACACATATGCCAGGACTTCCATTACTTGCTGGAACAGACCTCAGTCCAGTCCTAGCAGCATCCCAGCGACCTCCAGGCAGCCCCTGGAGTGGGAACATTTATTATGACCATTTTGTCTCTTAATTAAAATGTCTTAATTGATTTGCAATAGTTCCCCTTTGGAAAAAAAACAAACCAAACCAAATCAAATAGTAACTCCATTAAGGCCATTTTGTTAGGAAGCAAAACAGCTCCAATAGTCATGATGTTCCTGGCTCCTCTCAGATGGTGTGTAGCTGCCAGTCTCCAGTGAAAGGAAATAGGCAGTGGTGGGTGAGATGGGAAAAAAAGGAAGGGAGTGCCCACTGGTGTTGTGCCAGGACTTGGGTACTGAAGACAAATGGGATGGGCAAGCCACAGAAAAGGGGATAACAAGCAATAAAGTAATGCTGGGCAATCTGGAAGGTATAAAACCCAGACAGAGAGCAAGCAGGGAAAGCACAGCCACTGAAAGTGTGCCCAGCACTTGCTCTGTTTCCTTCCCCGATTTTGCTCTCCTGGCAGTAGGGTTTGCTCTGCTCAGCTGCAGCACAGGTGGCTGAGGGCTGCTGCTGCTGGGGGTTAGGCTCTGACGAAAAGGCTGTGGCTGTGCCACCTTCCCAGCCTGCTCCCTGGCTCCCCTTTCTACTGCATCCACTGCATGGCATGGCTCTGAACTCCTCTCTCCCTTCTTAGAAGTCGGGATCTCTCTTTGGTCTTTAGGGTTACCTTTCCAGGGCTGTTGCAGTGATGTTGTGGAGGTCTGAGATCACCCTTTAAGCAAACCCTCACCCCAGAAGATCCAGCTTTCTACTTCCCTAGTGGTCTCCACTCTTGTGGTATCTGAGCCCAACAACCTCATTTACAGGAACCACTGACATAAATTGGTCTGCAGAGTGAGATGTTAGGCAAGCAATCAGACACTGAGGGGGGCAGGAGAAAGGGTGCAAGCAGGAGTGGTTTTACTGCAGGCAGCTCTTCTTCTGGGCCTCTGCAGGGTCTCAGCTTTGCAGCTGGCTGGGCAGATTTCTGGAAGCAGGTCCTGAGGGGGAAGCACAACCCATGCTCTGAGGAGCAAAGACAGAACGAGCAGCCATTTATTTTTTATTGCAGTGTAATTGCTGTCACCCCCAGTACCTCAACACCATTAGTTTAAGCAATTTGTTTAAGTAACCAGCTGAAATGCAGGTGTTCTGCACGGAAAGTGTTCTCCCTTCCCAAGGACAGGCTGTCCTTAAAATTTTGGCTTGCAGGGCACAAGACTTGCGGGAAGGCCACCAGCATCCAGTCAGCAGTGCTCCTGCCCCTCCTGGTACAAACCCAGACCAGTTCTTCCTCAAGGAGGCTGAGAAGGTATCGAGCAGTCTGCCTCTAATTCCCACTTGATTTAAGCTCTTTGCCTTCCTCCCTCAGTGGAAGGGCATTTTCTTCCCTCTCTGCAAACACATGATGCTCTGCAAACCTCCCTGTTTTGGGCAGAGTGATGATTTTGCTCACTTTTGTTCAAGTCTGCAGTGGGAATGGGGGCCCCACTCACAGTGCTGGGGACAAAGGATATGTGAGGGGCCATTTCCACCCCCTCCACATATCCCAGCAGCAGCTCTGAGCCACAGAAGCTGAGGAGGAGCCAGTAACAAAGCTGGCTTTTCTCCTGCTGTGTTTGGATTTGATGGAAACCCAGCCGTGACAACATTCAGCTGTTCCAATGGCACCGAACGCCAGCCAGGGGTTCCAGGCAGAGTCAGTTCTGGCTCTCAGGCTCCTGCTCCCAAAGCCATCTCATGCAGGCATTTGAGCACCAGGATGATGATGGATGCTGGGGCTCTGGGTCTCGGGCCTATCTGTGCCTGGATGCTCAGCAGCAGCTCCACTGGAGGCTTGTTCACAGCTTCAGTGGTTTGTGCCCTGCACGTGCATGTCCCTGCAGAAGCTCCCTCCTCTTAAAAGCCAGCAGATGCCTGGGTGTGACCAACAACGAGGGGACAGAGAGGTTCTTTTAGGGATCTTTGGCACAGTGGTGATGGCACTAAATTGTGGTTACAACTAAAGCTTTATTTCCTTATCAGGCTATTAGGATTAGTATAGAACAGAATTCATGATTGGAGCAGCACAAGATTTCTACAAGCAGAATCAGCATAGTACGGTCTATAAGTAGCAAAATACAGAATTTATACACAACTTAACTTATGATTTCTAATCGCCTAAGTAATACAGAATTTATAATACAACTTATTATTTATATTCACCTGGACCCTCTTCAGATTGGGCCAAATCCTAGTACACGGCCTGTTGTATCAATCTAGACTCAAAAATCCTATAAAAGAAATGAGTCACTCACTGAATCCTCGAAAGAAGCAGAGGACAGTGGAGGTGTCCTTGGCCACAGGGTTCATGGGTCTCACTGTCCAGTAGTTCCCTACTTAGGCCTTGTAACTGTGCTCTGTGTGCTCTCACACTTCCTTGTTCTGTGATGGGGACATCAACACCACCTGCCTGGCCGGGTGCCTGTGACCTTCAAGGTCAGCAAAGAAGGGAATAATTGCCTGGTGCTCAGGAACCTTGAGATTGGCAGGGGAAGGAAAAAGAAAACTGGTGTGTCTACTTGGTTCACAGGACCTTGAGAGCCTGATAATGAGGGTCAGAGAATGAGTATGTGACACCTTTGGTCGCAGAGGGAGGCTGATAAAATGGTGTTAGCTATGCTACCCATATTATCAGGAGAGCAGGCAGTACCGGGTTGATTGGGTGGCAGCGTTACTATCAGGAGCAGTGGCAGAGACTCATGCAGAGACAGGGAAACAGATATTTTCACCTTGAGAGGTGAGAAATAAGAGACTGAAAAAAACTGGTGCACAATCTGGAAACAAATTGTTATGGGGAGATGGAGAAGAACATCTTGAATTTGAGAGCATCTTGTTGTTTTTCTCCTTCCCTAGTCCTTAAGGAGTTAGAACTCAGGGCATTTTTTTTGGCAAGTAAATCTCATCAAAGATGAGTGACACCATCATGAAGTTTTTCTATCAGCCCCAAGAGGTTCCAAATGTTTGGCCTGTTTTGCAAAGGCTGGCTTGAAGAACGGAAAAGGCAGTGTGCAAAGAGGCTCCACGCAGGCAATCTTCTCAGGACCTTCCAGTTTGGCTCTGGCTGGTTGAGGGTTTTTTCCCTGTCCAATTCAAACAAACAGAATCTCAGAAACTTGTGTGAAAAGTTGCATTTTTTGCTGACTTTTCCTTGGGGAACTGGCATTCAGCTGATCATAGGCTCTTAACAGGAGGTGTAAGAGAAGGGAGGAGGCCATTCAGTGTGAAGGGAGAAGGAGGGAGGATGCCACTGCTGCTGCTGTTTAGCCCAAAATGCCATGTGGGACACGCCCTTTGAGCCTCAGTTCTTGCAGATTCTCTCCTATCTCCCGTGCTCTCAATTCTGCTGTGTTTGTGTTCCAGACCTCCTTCTCCTCCTGATGAAAAGTCTCAGGCCAGGCATGGGACCATTTGAGGGAGCCAACAGCACTTTCACCTTGGAGAAGACAGCATTAGATGTGAAGCTGCCAGAGGGCTGGCATGACAAGGACTTTGTCACTCCTACCCAGGATCTCTCTGGGTCCCGCAGTGTTATGATGGACAGCACCAAGATCCTGGGGGTCCAGGTTGTCCTGATTGCTGCCTACTCCCTCATCATTCTGCTGGGATTCATTGGCAACTCCCTGGTCATCTACATCATAGTCAAGTACAAGACCATGAGGACTGTCACCAACTTCTTCATAGCTAACCTGGCCCTGGCAGACCTGATGGTGGACACGCTCTGTCTGCCCTTCACCCTGGTGTACACCCTGCTGGACGAGTGGAAGTTTGGAGCTGTTCTTTGTCACCTGGTCCCTTATGCTCAAGCTCTGAGTGTCCACGTGTCCACTCTCACCCTAACTGTGATTGCCCTGGACAGGTATCGGTGTATCGTGTTCCACCTGGACAGCAGGATTTCCAAGAGGCTCAGCTTCACCATCATAGCTGTCATGTGGCTGGCAGCAGCTGTCCTGGCAGGCCCTCTGGCCATCTTCAGAGAGTACCGATATGAGGAAATCCCATCCATCAACCTCAAGATGGCTGTCTGCTCAGAGAAATGGCCCTCTGGTAACAACAGAGATGCCACCATCTACAGTCTGTCCATGCTCCTCCTGCAGTATGTTCTTCCTCTTGCAATTATTTGTTATGCCTACACCAGGATCTGGTTCAAGCTGAAAAACCATGTCAGTCCCACTTCTAGGAATGAAAACCAGTGCCGGAGGAGGAAGACCACTAAAATGCTAGTGATGGTAGTTGTGGTATTTGCAGTCTGCTGGCTCCCCTTCCACATATTCCAGCTTGCCATTGATCTTGATCTGGTTCTTATCTTCCACGAGTACAAACTCCTGTACACTGTCTTCCATGTTGGGGCCATGTGCTCTACATTTGTCAACCCCCTGCTCTATGGATGGATGAACAAGAACTACCGGAATGGCTTCCTGATGTTCTTCCGTTGCCAGGACAAGCCAGAAAGCTTCCACACTGAAGGCTCAGTTAGAGGGAGGTCGTACATCTTCAGAGCCAATACCCTAAATGGGAGCATCAAACAGACTCCTGGCAATGGATCACTGCCCACAGAGGTTTAGGAATGGGTCATCCACCTCCAGGACTGAGGCTCTGGGACTGAGCCCAGAGACATTCTTGGGTGAATGCCTTTTTTTTTTGACAGAATATTGTGCTGCCAATTATACCTACCACAGCCACATAGAAATACCCCCTGTACCTCTCAGAACAATAAATCTGGTGTACTTCTGCCTGAACAAACAAATGAATTTTTCCTTTCTGTGCGTTCAAGTTATGCACACCGACGCATGAAAAAAAATAACACGGAGAGAAGGCTTTCATTTAGCCAGAAAAATACGCCCTTTTCGCTATTTCCTCTTGCCAAAGTGGGTTGCTCAACCTTTCACCCCCTGACACATTACACGTTATAAATGTGGAATTGTTATTGTGTGTGATTGTTCATCTGTACCTCTCCTACCCAAAAGCCTTAATGACCCATCTTTAGCTAATGCCTCCAGGGGGAGGGAGATCTGCAAACACAGATCACTCTGCTGGCCTGGGAAAGGGGAGGGCTGGCACAGGTTGAAGCTGGGCAATCCATGATCTCTTGCCCAGCATTGGCAAGAATCTGCATTTGCAACTCACAGGATGAGCTCTAGTCCTCAGAAAGCCCAGGAGGTGGCAGTGGCACTACTTACCACTGTCTCCTTTACAAATGCCGAAGCAGGGCTTTGGGAATATCTCATTAGCCAGGGCTTTTGAACCAGGGCCCTGGATTTAGAGAGGAGGAGAGCAGGCAGAGAAGCAGATAGGAAAGGAAAGGAAAGAGCTGGGGCAGCTGATCAAGAGGACTGAAACTGAACCTTAGGGATTGGCAAAGGCAATCTGCTCCAGGCCCTAAGATGTGGCTCCTGCCATGCAATAACTTGATAGGTGCCAACATGACCAGAGAGGCAAAACTGCCAATGACACCATTCTCCAAGGCACTCAGAGGGTTTACAGCTTTCCTCTTACTGAGGCTGGAGGTTGTATGGGTCTGTACATGGGTGCTGCAGTTCAGAAGACAGATGTAACCTGCTTGCATGGTGGCCACAGATGTGGTGTCCTCTGGCAGAAGAAGACATGGAGACGAAGATGTTTTCTTTCAAACCAAACTATATGTTCTCCTCCTGAAGGCTGTGTCAGCTGGGGAGCGTATTTTTAGCTCTGCCATCAAAGGAGCCTTGATTGCTACTGTGATCTCGGCAGCCAGTCATTGGTGTTGTCTCTAAAAGTCAGTGTTCATCAGATTGGAAAGTAACTCCCAGATGCAGGAAAGAAACTCAACAGACATGTTCATTAAAAATAAAAAGAAAAGAAAAACTTTGATTTGTGGGTCTTCACTGGAGCAAGGAGAAGAGGTAAGAGGACCTCTAGTACTGAGTACATCAGCCTGGATCAGGCTGCTGGGCTGTCACATCTGTATCCTCAAGAGATCAACTGCCAAAGGGTTTATTTGAAAATCTCTCTCCTGCCTCCTCCCAAGCTTGACCTGCCTCTGGCCCTTGTTCTCCAGCTCAGCTTCCAACTGCCACACTAGATTTTAATCTCTCTGTTTATTTCTGCTCTCTGATCCTCTGCTCCATTTTCCCAAATAGGTACAAGAAAGTGGTTTCTGGTTCCTTCCTGAAAGACATCAATGCCAAGTGGAGGCTGCAGACCCCACTCCACACTGATTACTAATAACACAGTGGGTACACTGATTACTAAAAACCTCCTCAGCATCTGATCCTGCAGATCACAGCCTGTCTTTCTTCTCAGGGAGCTTCAGGATCTACGAAGATCCTGTCAGGAAGTCATTGATGTTCCAGTAAAAGGGTGATCTGCTTCCTGATGGGAGGACCAAGACACAAGTTAACCTTTCTCGTGTGAGTGCTGTGGAGTGGGAGTTTACTGTTTCATCCTGGTGGAAGGAGGAGGATATTCTCCTTCACCGCACTGGTAAATTCTGTCCCTACTTAATGAGCTGGTCATTTCTACAATCCATCCTCCTGAGGAACTTTCCCCGCCTTTCCATCAAGCTCCAAGATACAAGGAAATGTTTGTGTTTCAAAAGCAGCTTAAATGGGTGGAAAGAATTCAACTATTACCAATAAACACTTCAGAAAATGATTTAACACTCAATAATGTCAGAGTAAAATAACAAATTTAGCAGTGCAAGCTTGGAAGCCAATCATGCTGCCAGCCAAGATGGATGAGGAGCTAAATTGCTCTTCTAGAGCCCTTGCCAAAGGTTTTGTCCTGTGACACCACACACAGTATCTGACTGCAGAGCATGGCAGATAATGACATAATGAATGACTGTTTAATTTTGAGCCCAGACTTTTAAACTAAATACGGATAAGTAAATAAACAGATCCAAGCTCTTTACAAATAAATACTGGCAGTGGCATTTACAGGGCAGAGGGGTTTTTATCCTGGAGCAAACTGAGAAGGAGAAACTATTTACTTGAAGTATAGCAGCGAAGTTCTTGTTTGCTCTGTTTAATACATTTGTGCAGCTTCACCGATAGATGTGCCTGTGAGCTTGCTGTCTTTTCCTTGCCATTGGAAAAAGTTACAGCCTTCCACAGCCACTGTGAGCAAGGAAACCAGCTCTCAGCTGTGTATACATGTCCCTGTGGAAAACCACGATGGTTATTGAGGGAGAGTGGCCATAGTGTCTAGTGCCAAACAGAATAAGAGAAGGTGGAGAGCAAGGAAGCAAAGCTTCATACCAAAAGATGATCAGAGCAAATAAATAGTATGATATGGATTTTTGTGACTGCATAGAGGACAGGAATGAATTTGTTGCCATGAAACAGAAATCTGTTGGAGATGATGGTTCCCTGAATATTTACACCCCACTAAAGATGGCCTTGCTGCCATGATCAGCCTCATGAAACCAAAGACCAGCAGCATTTTAAGTTTTTGAACTCTTTTGAGCTCAGGACAGGGTATGACCCTGGTCTATGGGTGTCAAAGGCAGATCCTTTAGTAGTTACAGATAATCTTGGAGTCATCTTCCCACTGCCTGCTCCTTGCCAATGGTGCATCAGGGAATGCCCACCAGGCTGGGCTCTTCTCTGCAGAGCCAACCCTGGTGTTACTGACACGGGATGAGCGACTTCTGTCCCTGCCACAACAGCTGACAGGGATAAGTTATTTCATTACAGTTAGAAACACAGTGACAGAAATGAAAATGAACAAGTGTTTCATTAAAGCTGGTCTGACAGACAGTTTTTTTGTTCCTGGTGGCCAAATGAATTTCTTCTAAGGGCTCTTCCTGATTCTTCCTGACATCCTTCTCAAAATGCTGCTTCACTGAACTGACCTGAAGATATTTCACAGCTTTTAGGAGAGAGATTCTGAGTTCCCTTTCTTATGCTAGGACACTCCTGCTGGTCATATCATACAAATCTTGTATTATGAAATGTACCACTGAACAGTTCTTAATTGCCAAATGACCCCTAGCAAATTATTAACTTGGAGTAGACACCACAGGTGGGGATGCCTCTAGCTATTCCATGCAGCCATTCCTCACATGCCACTCAAATACAAGAACTGCTGAGATGTGGCAACTTTGTAGTTTAAAAACAGCAGCTTCAATAACTGTTGTTCCCTATGACAGGCTGCTCTGAGAGCTCTCAAGACTGAGAGTATCTTATCAAGCTTCCAGACTTGACAAAACACGTGGAAATTTGCAGGGCACAGCTGTGCTTTGGACACAGGAGCCTCTCTGAGCACTAGAAACGTTGCCTCAAAACCACTTAGTTTGCTCTGAAAAGCCCTCCCCATTTCATTTCCAAAGCATACTCCTCTGTAACAAGGTAATGCGTGCACAGAGAGCAAAGGTTTGGGCTTTTTAGTTTTGCTTGTCTTAAGGCAATAAATACAGCTGGCACTTAGATGAATGCGGGGTGAGCTGGGTCCTTCATTCAGGGCTCAGTCAGAATCAAAGACGTGACACATTCCTGTGTTTGCCTGTGCTGCATCCTGTTCCTAGGAAGGCTAGATCCAGCCCCTCGTGGCTCTCTGCCCTGCAGTAACAGGTGCCCTCTCCCATTATCCACGGCAGCCCAGGCAAACAGTGTCAAATGGCACGTTTTATTCAAAATACCCACAGACGTATTGGCAGAAACACTGCTCTGAGCTTTGCACAAAGGCTCTGCAGGGAAATACATACTAGACCAGGAAAGAAGCTGTTCCTCTAACATATGCTAATATGCCAGAGGGGCTGGAGTTCTGTTCTGTTCTGCAGAAGGAGGTCACAGACAGCTCAGCCTTTCCCTTGATATCAGGTGTTAATCTTATCATTGTTACAGCTAAATGGTCCGAAACCAAATCAGCCTTTGGGCAGGAGCTGGGGAGTTGGTGCTGTCTGTGCATGCCTTTGTCTTTCAGCTCTGTTATTGTGTGATTTCACCAGGGTCTCTGAATGTGCTGGATTTTAAATAAGGCCCCGTAACCAGCTACTCTGGTGAACATCAGGAATTACTGCAATAATCCGGAAAAATAGAAAGGATTCTGGGTTCATATGGGTGAGCAGAATTTGGACTGTTGCATCTGAAAAAATCAGAGCTTTGTATTCCTTTCAGTTTTCCCTTATCTAGCTTGAGATTCTTTGAGTGCCAAAAATAATATTGCGTATTACTGCCAGAACATTTATCTTCTGTCTGAGCTCATTTCAGAGATGGGATTTGCTCAGGAGGACCTGGGAGGGGACGAAGGCTAGGGTTCTAAAGCACATCCTTATCTCTAGCCTCAGTGTTTTGTAAGTTAAAAGACAAATCAGAAAAAAACAAAGTCACTCATGCCAAGGGAGGTACCAATTTATCTTCAGACAACACAACCTCTATTTAATTTTCCATTCAGACACCCCAGCACCCTTTGCCAAAGTGTTGTATGTATACAAGGCTGGATGAGGTCGGGGGAGGAAGGCATTTTTCTGCTGCTAATAGCAATACCTTAGTGTCACTCATGATTTATAGCCAGCAAAGAATGCTTTTTTCTGGTCTATGTTCTGCTCAGTGTAATGAGTGCAGAAGGAATAGTGCAGATGCCTCATGGAGCTCACAGGAGGAGATCTTCATTAGTCCAATCCTCTCCAGTGTGGTAGCAAAGACTGGGAACATTAGAACAGAATCCCTCTTGTTTATAACTAGCTTATTGAAGTGCACAAGCATGGAGTTGTCACTGTGTCACCTGCTGATGTGTCACCAACTTTCAGACACTGTTCATCTTCAAGATTCACAAGCAGTTCAGCTACAAGATGCTTCTTGCTGCTGCATGGAAGGAAGAAGGAAAGTAGGACACAGAATAAGATTTCAAGATATTCAGGAGAGGATGAGCCTCTAGATGAAATTTGGAGGTTAATATAGTTCTTTATGGAACCTAGGGTAGTTTCTTGGCTCTACTGGGACCAGGATGAGTCACATGAAAAGGGGAATGAACTCTGCCATGGTGCAGGAAGAACAGAGCCTCTATCAAACTAGAGACAAGTAAGAAATAACAGCAAACCTGGATCTATCATGTCCAGTATTCTGTCGTAGATCCAGGCAATAAAAAATGCTATTTAGGGAAAGCACACTTGCTTGGTCACTTTAGTGGTCCATTCCCCTCATACTTCTCACAGCAGCCACGACTGTGGTATTAGAGATGTCAGAGGGGACATGCTTGCCCGGGACATTTAGTGTCCCTCTCTAGACTTTTTGCTTGTGATTTTGTCTAATTGTTCCCTGACTTTGACAATTCCGTCTGCTTCCTGTGGCAGCCAGTTCCAGAAGTTCACTCCCTGCAGTGTAAAAAAGCACTTTCTTTTAACTGTTAAAACCAAACCCCTATTAGATTCAGCAAATGCCCACTGCTTCCAGTACTATGGGACTTCCTGAACAGCAGCTGAACCAGAGCTTACCTAGGGCCTTCTTCACATTGTAAATCTTGATGCTGTCCTCCTTTGCCAGCTTTCTCCTCTCCTGGCTGAAGTCACATCTCCAAAGGCAGCTTTGTCATCCCTCATCATCTTGTTTGTCCTTCTGTAGACCTCCTTTAGTTCCACATATAGCACAATGAGCTGAATTTTGCTCATAATTCCTGTGAAGGAGTGGGATCTATCAGCTTTGTTCTGGCCTTGCTTGAGATCAACCATGAGGGGGAAGGACACCTCTTGAAAAAATGTCAGGCTG